AGTCTACATCTTTAATAAAATGCAGTCTAACATTTATATGTGTAGTACATTCATAAAATAAAAGATTTTTACACAATCGAATAACAGATTGACTATCAGAGTATACAATTACATTATCACTTAAAACACCTAGTTCATTAAGTAAACCTCTAAAACATAAAGTTTCTTTAATAGCATATGTGGCAACAATATACTTAGATTCAGTGGTAGATAAAGCAAATATATGTTGAAGCTGAGACTTCCAACTTACACAAGAGTCACACAAAGTAAACACATAAAAGGAAGTAGAGCTTCTATTGTCTCTATTACCACTATAGTTAGCATCTGTGAAACCACACCCTCAGTAGTAGATTTATAAACTAACCCTACATCAAAAGTACATTTCAAGCAGGGGCGAATCTAGGCTTTGAGTTCAGCTAGGGCAAACCGCGAATGTTGAACGTTCACTGTCAACGTCCGTGATAACGAAACAAAGTTGTTTATTAATATTTAATTAAATAATATTCAAAAAATCGTATGGACTATAACTAAAAGAATTAGAAGAACTACTAGAATTAGAATAAATAGATATGAACTTTCGTTTTGATTGAGAAAATCGTTCAATAATCAGCAAAAATGACCCTTTTTTTTTTTAATTAGAATTGATTAAAAAACAAAGAATACATGGTTGAATTTAGCCCAACATCTTCTCAATTGATTTTTTTCGCTTATCCTAAATTCCTAAACATAAATTTCCAAATGACAAATCAAAACTCATAAATGATAAATTATAACTCGTAACTCAATGATTCATACTGCATACATTATTTATCCCAACCACAGATTCACAGTTCTCATTTTAATGCCAAATTGCCAATTAACTCATCGAACATAAATCATTATTCATAAGTTATAAGTCATAAATAAAAAATAAAACCAAAGCCAAATTTTGAAAACAATGATTTCTAGAACTAGAACTATTTTTTAGACCAAAATAAAATTATTTTTCAAACTCTTAAAAGAATGAAGAGCAATTCTTAGATTGTCCAAATTTGAATTTCATAAAATAAATTGATTAAACATAATGATAAATGTATCTATATTATGAAGTAATAATTTGAGTTAATAAATTTTTTAAAGAAATTATTTTGGAAATGAAAACTATAGTTATTATTTATTGTAACAAAAAAGTGGATGGATATGGATTGAACCCCATACCTTTTACATACAAAAAGAACTCTACCATATGAGCTACCGTCATATTAGTACAATGTCTTATTAATATTTAATTATTGCGTTTAAAACAACGTAGTGCCGCCCAGGGGATTCAAACTTGTGTATCTCTTCAATGTAAAAGCGAGAATGCAACCACACCGTCTACATGCCAATTTTGTTGAATCTTTTCACAAAACGTATATAAATAAATATTCAACATAAACTTTCACTAAATTTTTCCCTAGCAGATCCAGCACGGGCGGTTGCGCCAACTCGCCAGGTGTTGGATCCGCCCCTGATTTCAAGTACTTAAACAACCACTTCAATGCTTCCCAAGGTTTGGGATCGGGATTAGATATGTACATACTTAACACGCTCATAGTGAAAGCCAAATCAGGTCTAATACATACCGTAAAGTACATAACGAAGTGAATGACATTTGAATAAGGAATATTATTTAGAAATTTTCTTTCTTCATTTGTTCTTTTGACAAAATAAAATGATTTCCAAGAGGCATAGAAGCGGATGTGCAATCGAGCATGCCAAATTTCTTTAAAACTTTAAGAACATAAGAAGGTTAATGCATATACAAGCAAGAATTAGACCTATCCCGGTTAATCTCCATACCAAGGATCCTCCTAACATATCCTAGGTCTTTCATGTCAAATTCTTTCCCTAACTACATTTTAATTTTGTTTACAACTTTCATGTTAGGTCCAATTAATAACATATCATCCACATAAAGTAACCAATATACACACTTTTTATTAGTGTTGTGGTGTAGGTAATACAAACAATGGTCAAACTCACACCTCTTGAAACCAATAGACAACACATAAAAATTAAACCTTTTATACCACTAACGTAGAGACTATTTTAGCCCATAAAGAGATTTCTTTAAAAAAGACATATAGTCAAGTTTAGACTTACTTTCAAAACCTTTGGACTGATTCATAAATTTTTTTTAATCAAGGTCGCCATGCAAAAAAATAGTTTTGACATCAAGTTGTTTAAGTTCCCCGTCGTAGCAAGCAACAAAAGCAAGCATGACCATAATAGTGGTACACTTAATAACTGCCGAAAAAATCTCATTATAATCTACCCCTTTTTTGTGTGCACCCTTTAGCTATTAACGTAGCTTTATATCTCACAGGCTCACTCTCAGTGGTTTCCTCCTTAATTTTATAAACTCATTTGCATCCTACTATGAATTTCTCCATAAGTCTAGGGACTAAATCCCAAGTTTGATTCTTGGCAAGAAAACTCATCTCTTCTCTCATGGCACCCAGTCAATCCTTACTTTTTTCACTCCTCATAGCCTTCTCATAGGTATTTGACTTATCATCTAATTCTTGATAACTAGTATAGGATATGGTATAGTTAGATATCTTCTGGGGTTCCTTATGTGGTCTCCTCTCTTTCTATCTTTAGCTAATTGATAATCAGTTAAAGGGTTTTGGTCGATAACTAACTTGAAATAAAACTGGATCTTCACAGTTTTCAGATGAACTCAAATGGTGAAAAATCAAATCATTTTAGGTTCCAAGCATTTTAGTGGCAAGAGCTTGAGAGCCTATGATTTCTGCCACCATAAAATATGACCATACACACTGAATATGCATGATATGCCAATGTATGAACTATGAAAACTTTATAAACCATGCTCTGATACCAATTGACACGATCCATCCCAAATCGCTCTAATGGACCTGACACATATTGTGCGTCGATGATAGATACCAGCTAAATGTCAGACCCAACACCAAGGCAACTATAATATGCTTTGACTGTAACATATTTTATAAAAAAAAAAAAAAAAAATTGACAGAGTTTCCTCTAAATTATGGATTAAAAATCACCTAAAAATTTATCAATTTTCTCAAATCGATGGATGAAATATAAAACAGAGTATTCCAGTCTCTCAAAATACCAACTACTCAAAAGAAAGTGCATTGAAATGAAATTTACACTTCTTTACAAACCAAACGATCCCAATTTCTCAACATACACACAAATATGCAATGAGCCCATGATATGAATACATTATTAGACAATAGATGTTCTATACCATAATCATGAACTGTATAAAATAAGAAGATGAAACATACAAATAACAACTGTGTGGCTCAACTTAGTAAATCAACAGACTCCGATACGGCTCAACTCAGCTACTATCTGATAAGAAAAAGGATGACAAAATATATGAGCTTGTAACTCAGTGAGTGGATATTTCACAAATAAAAATATATTTTCCATTTATGCTAACTTTCTGAAAACTGATACGTAATAAAAATACCTTTTTTATAGTACTATAAGCTAAAATCTTTATTATTTATACTGAATAAACTAAATTTTGTATTAATCTGAGATCTAAAAAGCTGTATGTAATATGAAAATCTCACCAAAAAGGTACTCGGAATAACCACACTCATGCACCGATTAACCTCAAGGTAACATGATCTCTGTATACTTCTCTTGATTCTGCAATTAAACCGACAGTTTGTTCTTAAGGTTTTAGTTAGTCAGTACAATTTTGTGTTATGTTTAGTTCGAAAACAATTATAGGAACAATTTGAATACCATTGGATTAGTCAACAAAGATCAGTTTCTTGATCACGTCCAGATTCATTAGAGATTTTTAATGAATGAGCACAAGATTTTATCAAAAATTACAGGTAAAAATAAGAATATTAATGAAATAAGTTATTTAAAAATTAGTTATAAGTTTAACTTATTTTTAAACCCAATCAAACATTACTTGGTTTCCCATTATCAAATGCGAATGAGCTCCAACTTGTTCTTCGGTATTCACATGGGAACATACGAGTCTAAAGATAAGAATGAACAGTAGATAGATTGTGCAAATCTTTTTATATTTTTTGTCAAAAAATTTCGTAGAATCCAATAATTTTGAGGACCCAAATTCTGTATGTCCTTGAAAACATATGTCAAGAAATTGTGGTTTTAATACGAATATTCCAAAGACTAATACATTGGAAGAGGGTCCAATCCATTGTTTTTTTCCCGATGTGACCCGTGAAACCATATTGGTTGCTTGCCAGCTTCCAAATAGACCTAATGAAAGGAGACTTTCTTGCAAACAGACCTTCCAGACAATCACAAGAAAACAACAAAAACATCTCAATTTGTAGTACAAGTCCATACTAACCACATCAATGAAGTCGAAAGCCTGGTTCGGTGAAGGAGAGACATCAATGGCCGACAGAATGCTCCAAGCATCTGACATAATGGAGAAGAGCGATTTGACAATAATACTCCTTTCCCCACAATATTGGAGTGGCCAAGTCCAGTGAGTGAAAAAGTGTTCGCCCTGATTTTGGTGCATTATTTCTTTAGGTACATACATAGTCCCTATTTGATATAGTTTTTTCATATTGTAAGTTAAAATTGCTCAAAAAACTTTTGTGAATCAGGGGCTTAATTTCATTATCAAGTATTTCAAAATCCATACTCTTCCCTTCTTACAGTTTTGTCTTTGTGGTACCATTGGTTTCGAAATCAATTTTCCTTTCATCGGAATTGAGCGGCCGACATTTTTGACCAGTGAGTGAAAAACCGTTAGCCCTAATTTTGGTGCATTATTTCTTTAAAAGTATATAAAATTATTTCTTTAATTGTAAGTTAAAATTGTATTTTAAAGTAACAAAAAGTTTAATTCGACTCATATTATAGCAAGTAATAACTCACTACCTCAATAGGATCAAGTAACTCCATTATTTCACATTACAAGCAAAATTACAAGCAATTTAAAATGTAAAACAAGTATTAATAACAAGAAAAAGCTATTTTGTCTTTTAGCTGAAGTTGCATTGACATAACAAAGAAATTTCCACCACTCGAGCATCCTCATCTTAAATCCAGAGTAAAGCAGCCGTGGGAAGAGAGCTGAATAATTGAACAAAACGATGACCCCTAAAGCACCAATGCCATGGATAGGCCTATACGCTGCTGTAGCATCTCTAATATGGACTCTTTCACTTGTCATTGATGCATTGATTTCTGTCCGTCAGAGAAAATTATGGTTCCCTTGCAGATATTCTGCTCTCAACGCTGCTTCCTTGACTGTGTTAGCCGTCGCAGTGAAGTTGGCAATGGATCTAACCACCCCGATGGAAGGTGTCATTGATCAAGTCGCTAAAACTTCTAGCACTGCTCTCTTGTGTGTTTCAACCGCTCATTTCATTCCCTCTCTGGGATCCATGAGTGATAGAGATATATTAGTGAACTTAACAGCATTGGGTTTCCTTGTAGGGACGCTTACCGTAAATGTCATCATCCAAGTATTCACAGGCGTGATTGAAGATCATTTCCAAGTGTTGGTTGTCTTTATGAATGTTTATGCGTTCATTATATTAAGTTCTTCTGCTTTAACGGTATTTACAAGTAAAAGGTATTTGGAACATAAGTACAAAGAATTGCAAACAAGAATTTTGGCAGAGGAACTACAAGGAGACCAAATAATGGACTTTGACAAGTTAAAGTCACGAGTGAAAAAGTATTGGGTGATGGCGGAAACAGGTAACCCTCAGTTTGTAATGGCACGATCTGAGGCCAGCGGTGTTTTATTCATGATCTGTGTCATTAGTTATATTTTAGGTAAATCACCATATTCAAGACTCGATAAGCCAGAAATTGCTTCAGATTATAAATGGTCAGTGTATTCTATTCATTGGACTCAACATTTTGGCATGTCTCTTTGCGTTGTCACGTCTTTGGGAAGATTTTTAGTAGCTTTGCTTCACACTGTACAGAATATTAGAAAATGTACCATCTCTAGCATTTCCTTAGAAATAAAAAATTACAGGATCAAAAGATTGGTAGAGTGGAAAAAGAGACTCCCACCATTACATATTCGAGGCCAGAAGCTTAGAAAAATTATTTATTGTTGGAAATGGTGTTTATTAATAAACCAATTCAAAAATGAATGAGAACTCGTGGCTTTGGAATAGTGGGACCTGTTTGGAACGTCCCATCTCAATTGGTGGATTTCTCTACTTATTCATCACGGATCCAGTTTCCACGGTCATACTAGGTATAATCCCATTGGCCGTCCTACTCTCTTTTGGTGTCTCAAGAATGAGAATCGTTAGATGCTTGGTCATGGTAAAGAATTTTTTCTTAAGGAAATCTGAGGCCTCACATCTCTTTTCATATATTATATTCCTTGTAGAGGGGAAACTCCGTCGAAAGTTCGCCGGATTTGTGGTTTGAAGTGCTACTACCACAAATCGAATCCGTTGTATCTTGGGAGACAATTGCCGCCAATCGTGAGCACCGTAGCGGGGCAATATTGTCTTAAGGAGAGAGTGAATACACTTGCCTCGGATTTAATCTTCCTTTTCTACTCCTTCTTATTTTAATTTTCTTATTTGGTTTTATGGTTTTGTACTACATTTCCATTCATAAATTTGTGATTTAAAATGCACTCACAAACAACCATCTTTACCGCTCACAAATAAGCCAGGCACCAACAATCTTAAGACAATAATTTATCAATGGTTGTTTGGCGTTCTAATCAAGTTTTGTTTGTTGTGCAGTTTATATTTTAGTTTTTGTTGGAATATGATTCTAGAAAATCAATGTGTTGGTTTCTCTATTGCCGATGGAAGACCATGATGAAACTATAAGCCACTTTAAGAAATTACTTTGGCGTTGATCAAGTTGATGGATCGAGACTCTTTTTTTTTTGTGTGGATGGTTCGATGGGATAATCTTCACAAGATGGCTAGATGACATGGATCCAAATTCTCATATTCAGATTTGGTAAATTATCATTTTGCTTCTCCAAATTCCGTAAGTCGAAATTATGCTTCGATGAAGTTTGGTGCATTTTATATTGCATACTATTAATTCTTGTGCATATTCTGCCATAATGTATGAGACGTATGCAATAACAAATTGAGATAATGCAAAACTCGATTCTTCGGTGGACGATTTATGAACGTGTCTATTGAATTCTAGAAAGATTATTTTCATAGACACTTGAATTGAATTATTGAATCAGTGCCAACAGTTTAATTTTCATTCATGAAAATCTGATTATGCTTAAATAATTGAATGTGTAAAAACGGCTTCTATGTGCATTACATATGCTTGACATTCAGGAAATTATGCAAATTATATCTGGGTTGTGCACTCATATCAATTGAATATATTATATAATTGTATGTGCCGAAATTACAAAGCATATGTTGGCAGTTTCATTTGCCGAATTTGTTGATGGCAATTTTTAAACCAAAAGGATTTATCTACATTTAAAACTTTTGACACCTTTTAATACAATGAGTATTTTGTGTCATAAATTGCCTGGAGAATTTTGATTGGAAAGAAAAAAATGTGAAGCGGTGCATACATTAAATTCCAATAGAATGTATTCCGTTTCTTGCATGTGCGTGCATTCGAAACGTCCCCAAACTTTGATGATTGGCAGTTTAATTTTGGCACCTTTTTAATTCACATAATAATGTTTGGGGATGAAGGTTCTATGATAATAAGGTTGGTATAATCTCATCAACGATTTAAAATTAAATGAAGAATTGCGTTGAGGCAGTTTCTCAAAATCTAAGATAGTATGAACCTATCGAAAAATTGTCTGACACTTTCTTTTGGTTTGATATGCCGCCTACTGTACATTAAAATTCATAATCAGTCCAGAATAAATTTGAAAAGTGCATTAATTAAATGGTATCTCTGAAATCTGATTTCTTGGGACATAATTGATTGCATATATCCAGAAATTGTGCACCTTATCATGGAAATTATGAAATCTGGAAAAGGGCATGAATTCTTTATCTTCATGTCATTTGGTGTAAAACAAATTATTCATTTCTGAAATGGTGCGATCCATTCAGAATTGTATGGCATAACTTTATTTGTCTTGGTGTATGAAATCACATGCGATTATCTGTCTTCAACTATGATTCTGTGAACAAGCATGATTATGTATGTAAGCTTTGTGATTTTAAACATACTGGTTCATTGTTGCGATGTTCATTAACACTTCTATTAATTCATCCATAAAGATGGGTGCAAAGAATCAGCCTAGATATCTAATGGACCTTATGGAGAATTCCACCAGCTTCGTGGGTGTATCAAAATTTGAAAGATTCTGTGAACAGGCATGATTATGTATGTAAGCTTTGTGATTTTAAACATACTGGTTCATTGTTGCACCTTTTGACATGTTCACAAATTGGAGTATAGATATGTTTAAAGTGCATATGTATAAATAAAATTACATGTTGGTTGAAGAATATTTGAAATAAATTATTCATACATGTTCACGTGAGGATGCCCATTCTCTATTAGAAAATTGAAAATGACATGATAAATTTGTTTGATTGATTTCATGTCTCGCTAAACTCATATTAAGCATAAAGTATGAAAATTGTGACTTATTCTAGTAGAAAGTGCTTGTGAAATTATTGAGACATGGAAACATCTTATAGAGTACAGTTTATGTTTTTTCATATGATTGTGACAAAATTGTGTTTTGTCCAAATGTGAATAAGATGAACATATACTTTATGGTTTGACATGATATAATATTATCTTATGTCACAAAAAGCAAAAAGCAATGATTCGCTTATGTTTGGAAAAGTAATAACTCTTGGGAATCAAGATGATTAGTCTTATTCATTGATGAATTTGACTTCAATCATAAAACCAAATTGAGTTGGTTTATGCTTGAAAAGCATGGTAGGTCTATGAGATGACCTTGATCAAATTGTGTGATCAAAATTAAGTCGTGAATTGAAGCACAACTTTGTTGGTCTATGTGACAACCGTGATTTAAATAATCACAACTTCAAATGAAAATTGAGTTTTCATTTGTGTGAATTGACGATCACTATTTGAAAGTACTTAGACTTTCTCGAAGTGCTCGATATGGATATCATCTAAATAATAAATGGATTGAACTATGAAAGAGTTAATAACTCTAAGTTCAAGTGTAACCCAAAAATGTGGGGGTTATCATAAATGCTTGAGAACTTATACGAAAGGTTCAAAACGTACGTACATTCCTAATTTAGGAATTGTGGGGGTAACTTAAAGTTACACTTTTCTGTACTTCTCAAGAAAATGGAAAAGACTCCATATTAGTTGTGGAAAAGTCATCATTCATCCTATCAACATGTAAAAGTGTGGGGATGTTTGGCAAAGGTCGAAGTTCCTAACAAATAAAGATTGGTCCCAAAGTGATTGATTGCATATTTATTGGATACACCAATAAATAGTAATGCATATCATTTTCTGTACACAAATTGGATGTACATGAGGGTACCATAGTGGAATAAAGAAGTATAATATTCTTTAGAATTATTCCTTGCAAAGACAAAGGAAATGTAAGTTCAAATAAGAGAACTTATGAAGCTACAAATGGATCTTCAAATTAAAAAGAACCAAGGCGTAGTAAGAGGGTTAGAAAGAAGGACTTGACTTCTTTGATATCCACTCATCCATAATTAGAGTTACTTTGATAAGGTTACTAATTGCAACTGCGGCAATCTATATATAACTTTGAGATTCATCAAATGGATGTGAGAACAGTACTCCTAAATGGGAGATATACATGGAGCAGCCTGGAGGATTCGTTTCTCCAAAGTGAAAGCCATAAAACTTGTAAACGGATTCAAAATGAACTAATGTGACAAGTGTGTATACGTGAATACACCAAATGCCTATGTAATTGTATATCAGGGAAAAGCCACGAAGTGTTGGTAAACATCAAGAAAATGCTAACGAAGCATTTCGATATGAGAGGCATGGGTGTGGCAGAAGTAATACTAGGGAAAAAGATCTCTAGGAATTGTACTTTCCCAATATCATTATGATAGAGAACATACTTAAGTATTTGCGGGAAATAATTCAAGACACATATTAATACAAGTATACACTTGGTTAAAATAAGAGTGGAAACGTGTCACAACTAAGGTATTCACAAATGATT